TGAGGCAGAAAGTGGAAATTTTTCTTGATCCAAAGACACCGTCTTACTGAGAATTGGGATTTGATGAGTAGTTGCTGCAGGACAACATCTGGAAGCAGAAAGAAACCAGATGAAAACGGCTCTAAGCAGCAGTAGAACCTGGTTACTGTGGAACACAATAGTTCTTAACCTGGTCAGAACCCAGATTTCTGCAGGAAAAGACAGTTTAAAGTGTCAGCATCTCCTGCTGTTACCAGAATAACCTGTAACCTGTGTCATGGTGGTTGTGTCCTTGGGCAGGACACTTCACCCATCTTGCCTGGTGTGAATACGTATGAATGGATTGTTTGAGGTGGTGGTCGGAGGGGCAGAATGGCAGCCACGCCTCTGTTGGTCTACAATCATAGCTACCACCACCGGAATGGATGTGTGTGACTGAATAATTAACAGTGTAAAGCATCTTTGAGTGCCTAGAAAAGCACAAATCTGTTCACTTATTCATTATTATTATAATTGTTCTTTTCTTCTGTTTTGTCTGATTCTTTACTGCTGCGTCACATTTCTGGACTTTTCCAGATCTCAGTCCGTCCTGGAGACACAGAAACTGATCATGTCTCTAAATTCTCTCTGATGTCTTTGATCCAGAAAGTTGTTCATCTTTTACTCACCGTTGTGCAGCTGTTTCTGAATAAATCTGATGTTAGTCAGGTTCTAAAACTAACCTTGGACTTGAGCCACTATAACACACACACACACACACACACACACACACTACTGCATCTGGGATACAGAACACAGAGGCTACAGCAGTAGAGTCTATTATTATTTTACCTGTTAATAAGTTCATTACACCATTTGCCCAAATACAAGTCTTACCAACCAGGTTATTATTGCAATAAGTAGTATTTTGGGTGGAACAGACCTTTCAAACCTCAACTTGTTGGTTAAAAAGCACTATGTGGATGGAAAAAAACTTTAAAATTATAGGTACTCCTCCAGCTGCAAAAAGAAATCCAGCTTTCCAGCAGTCTGTTAGAAAAAAAAATCCATCTTCCAAAAGAGTTCAAGTCTCCTTCAACAGCGTATCATATTCATGTATTTATTGCTTTTATTACTATTGCTGTGACACAGATCTGCTGGTGTTTGGAGCACATCGGCCACCCAGCAGCCTCTGAAACAACACTGGAGGTAAGAATTTATCATTCATTACAGTTTTAATCAACAACACACAACGTTAGCTAATGTTATCTGTCCTACGAATATCATGTGTGGTGACGCTGATGCTTGACGACACGATTGCTCTCATTTTTCCTTTTGCCAAATATTCCGTAGAGAAACAACCCAACAGTGACGGTGTGGTCAGGCCTGATGTACTGTGCTCGCCCCTTATGTAGACCTCTGTTCGCTTTATTTAGAGTAGATGTATTTAGCATTTTCTTTATGAGTCACATCTTTAGTTTGGTAGAGTTTTGACAACAGTATAGTGAATAAATTTACACATGAAGAATTCAGACAAATAAAATGTCAGGCTGTACAACACACACACAAAAACCACAAATCACTTTCTTTTTTTTCTTCCACTTTAAAAACAAACAACCTGTACTACCAGTATAATCTGCGTACAGTTTTCTCCTCTGATGATTTTCCATGTGCCACCAGGTGGATTCATAAACTGGAATCAACATAATAACCGATGAGTATTTTTGCGAATGGCTGCAACACTGAGTTCAACCACTAGAGGTCAGGCTTGTATAGTTTTAAAGTTCTCCAGTGCTGTTTTTCTTCTATGCTGTAAAAAACCAGTGAAGTTGTTGATAGTTTTGTCTTCCAAAGTAGAGAGAGAAGGGGCACATCCTGCATAAATATAACAGTACGTAGAACTTGGGAAAACTGCAATGTCTGGACTCAACAAGATAATGAAAGACAAAGATGTCAGCGGCACAACAAAGATGAGGGTAATTACATCATTGGTGTTTCCTGTTGTGATGTGTGGAGGCGATCACTGGACAGTTAAAAAGGCAGATAGAAAGAATTAGAGTCTTTTGAAACGCGGCGTAGAAAGCTAAGGATCCCATGGATAGCCAGGAGAACAAACCAGTCAGCGTGGGATGAATTATAACCAAACTGCTCCCTGGAGGCCCTGGTACTGAAGCACAGACTTACTTACTGTGGACATATCCTACCATCAAAGGGAATGGAGCAGGACATCATGCTTGGAAAGGTGCAGGATAAAAGAAGAAGACGGAGGCAAAGAGTCAGATGGACAGAAGGTGCGACCAAAGAAGCCGACAAGTCCCTAACAGAGCTATGTGAACTGATACGAGACAGAAACAGCTGAAGAAAGTATGTCCATGGGGTCAGCATGAGTCCCAAACGACTGGACCGCACC